CAGCATTAACTTCTCCGACCCGAGTCATGTTTTGAGTAAATTCAGGTAAACCCAAAATAACCGTAGCGCAACACATCTTTCCCTCCTCCAAAAGGTTTTTAGAACTAGCGCAAGAGCAATTCTTCCTGTCTACCAAACAACACCAGCTAGCGCGCTATATAGAGAAGCAGGTCTCTCCCCTCCAGAAATCGCGCTGGACTCAAAACTTTATCAAGCATCCCTCCGCATACACCGCCTCGATCCACGGCACCCTCTCCGCCACCGGAACATTTAGATTTTAGCCAACAAAGACGTGACTCACGCCTACAGGGTATTTGGACCCTCTTATCAACCCCCCTTGGTTAGTAAAGGAGAGTTGGTTCTCAAGGACTAGAAGGGTCACTGCTGCCTCATATCAACTTCCTGAGGGGATCACCTCACAAGACTTAGTTGTGTATTCTGATGGCAGCCGCCTAGAATCAGCTTTAGGACCAATTCTCTTTTGCTAACCAAGGGGGGTTGACAAGGGGGTCCAAATACTCTGTGGGCGGTGAATAGAGGCAAAATACAGGCTAGCATCTTGGCATAGACAGCTACTGAATAGTAATGTAATCCGAACCTAGAGAGAGAATAGAAGCACTCTTACTGAACCCACGTCCGCTTTACAAATTGAATTACCCCTGTGATACCTACAGTGCAAATGTTATCCCTTATATACATGATGGGTGGTCAATGCTTATGATAAAATACCTTGTTTCGTAATCAGTCTTGGTTCGTTCATCCATGACCTAGCCTTAGGTGCCTTAGGCTCTAGCCTATGACAGACAGGACTCTTCCCACCAGTTATCTAGCAATCTCTGCTGTCTGTGATTCATGAGGCCTCAAAGATGTGCCAGAGTACTGGATCCTGGTTGCGTATCCACGCTAAGCAATTCTGGAAGTGCCGCACGGGCCATGGCGTCTGCCTCTTCATTTCCTTGGATTCCTGCATGCCCTGGAACCCACTTCACTGATATTAATGCCTTATTGGATAATACACAGAATTTGCGTACATCTTCTAGGCTAGTTGAGGACGAGCCCGTCATTAGTGCGCTTACAGCCTGCTGACTGTCTATGTTACGGTTTGACTGTTGTTTAAGCTCAGGAGGAAACCAAAGTGTTTAATGAGGAATAATTACAATAAGACTGAAAGAGGAAATATTAACAAGTATAGATGAAATGGCACTACTAGCCAGGAGGTCGAAGCAAAATCATAACGTAATGGCTCCTGATAATACTTGGCTCAGTAACAAGTATTAGGCCTAGGGGAAAGTGTTGGAAATATCGCGCAATGAAATGGGCGCAATATTCATGGAACGAAAGTAGAAGTTGTCTAAGAGAGTGTCACGTTCGGATTAAAGCTAAAAGTGTGGGAGATGTGCGCTACAAGTACAAGTGTAAGCGACACAGAGCCTAAGCCACAGCATAAACGAGTGTGGCGCCATCTAGGCGTAGAAAACCCCTCAATAACCTCCTTGCGCCCACGCCATACAGCCGCTCATGTATCCAATAGGTAGCCTGAAGCGCTACCATATTACCTACTCCAACCTCTTACATACACACAAGATCGTGTCGGGAACCTAGACGAAATCAAGGGCCCATACGTCCACAACACTCCGTGTGTCATGGCGAGACATTCTGGAACCAGAGTCTAAGCAGAATGCCTGAGGATAAAATTCACGGAACAGGTTTTTCGGCTCGCCCTCAACACTTGCACTTATATGGTGAGACTAGATAATGCGCCAACTGGAATTGATATGGTTGAGGTCACAGTTTGAGTCATGATGGGAAATTACAACAGTCTTAGTTGAATTACGTTAGATAGTTATTTGTACTTAAGGAAGCTGGAGCTACAACAAAGTAGTTCTCCAGCTTCACAATCTTATAATATTATTACAGTATTCCTCTTGCAAACCCGCTTCCTTCTAGCCATTGTACTTCGTCGACTTCCCACCTCTATAGTATTCACCACTTGACCTTTTCATACCCTCGGCGAACGGCGATCTCGATCTACCCTAGAGCACGCCGTAACACCGTGTCTCCATTTCCAACAGAAAGTTATCAGTCAGCAGATTCACGAAGCGGACCAAACGTTATAAGTACCTGATAGTAGTAGCTAGAGATTTCTTTTCTCCTCATGTAGTTTAATAAATCGATTTATTCATCACTGTTACGGCCTTGTATTCCTGACCCTCTGTGACGGCTGTCAAGCCTAAGGGTTCCTGTAGCCTACGCTGTCTAGCGCAGGCAATTATACGAAGGGAGGTTCCTGGGAAGATCTTGGATGACAGGGAACCTAGATGATTCACATTGAGCCTTTTTGAAACCTACTGAGAGTTCATGAGGGTTACAGAAGTATCAAGGATCTACAGGCGATTGTCGGGAAGTCTGAGTTGACAAGTCACAGAGAGAACCTTATCGAGGAGGGGTATTTCAGTCTGTATATATAGGTAGTCATTAAGTACAGAAATTCTCTCTTCAAAGAATTATAATTAAAATATTGTACCTACAACATTGCTCATGCATTTTGTAATAAAACCGTGACACTTTGCCTTTTTAGCCTCCTTCCAATTCCTTCCCGAAAGTCGTGCTGATATGCCAGAAAAGTCTTGACAGTGCGTGATTGCTGTGTGGTGGCTTAGCCTAACTTCTTTTGTGCCGTCCAGGGCACTGGGGAGTGACTTTGTGTCAAACAGATTGCCCTAAATTTAAATGTTGTCTCATGATGTTTAAGTTGAGTAGTTTACAAGGAAGTAACCGGGGCTGATGCATCAAGAGCAATAACTTAGTCATGCAAATGTTACAATTAGCGACTAGACGGATGGCCAATTTCATACGCACAACTCCCTTGTTGTTTCAATCCTTCTATTGCCCATGATAATGTAACAGCCAATTTTAGACCCATGTATGGAACAGAGATTTGAGCAGTTCGTATTGGCAATCTAATATTCAGTCTATATTTGGAATTAGTAGGATACTCAAGATGTATATAGTATCTAGATAGATTCCTTATGGGAGAGAACAATCAATTCAATAAACTCTGAGAGAGATTCATATTAGTATAACTTTGCTTCACACGTTGACTTATCGACAATAGAAGTCCTCCTGGCTAATTAGCCAAAATCTCGGTCTTGGCGCCCACAAAAAATCCAAGGTTGAAAACTCCTCGAAAATATCGGTCCCAGCATGTTCTTCAGGGACCTATTCCCTCTCTCGCTCCACATCTCAGTCACCTGTTCCTCCCCAAGATGTAGAGTCCCATTAGAGCTTCAGTCCCCCATAAACCAAGACCCCAACTTTGTATATTGTGACTTAACTTCCTCCTTGTGGGTATACGAAGCGTCGTAAATTTGTAGTGAGTGATGGCCGGTGATGAATGAGGCAAGCTCCTGTTTGCAATTGGGGCGACGCCTTTATCGGTCGTTGAAGCGAGATGATACGTGGTTAGATCGAGGTTGAGGACTCAGAAGATTACGATGAGTGCTGCATGATTGAGAAGTCGTCAAATGGAGATATGGATAAGTTTGCTTTCGACTTCGATTCGGATGCGATTCTTCTTGGCTATCCCAGATATGCAAAGCATACTGAGCGATTACACCGGCACCACTGGAAGGTGAAGAATTCGTCTTTACCGGCTACCTCGCTTAGGTAGAAACGTTGTGTTCTGATTAAATGATTGAATAACAATCCCACCAGCGAGATCATTACGAACCGAGACCCCACTAAAGCTGGTAGCGATCGAAGATGAGCAGTCTTCGTCTTCTCCGCCCTGCGTGCAGTTTGGTCTGGTATATCCAGATTTCAGCATCCCTCAGTTTCGTCAAACGGCTTGGTCTATCAGAGTTCTACACTAGGATTTGCCCTTGAAAACCCATCTTGGAAATTCAAAATTACCACCTGGTACATCCAGGTGCTCTTGTATACTGCTCATTCGAAATTAAGTTTAGTTGAAACTGAGTATCCGGCTCATGAAGAGAACATTATATTATAGCCAACCTGTAATATGGAGCGTGGGAGTTAAATCACGTGGCACGCGTAGTTTCATGAGGCTCTGTGCCCCAAAGTAGATGTGTACAGGTGCGAAGCCTCCAGTGCAGTAAGTACTGGCATCCATTCCTCTAGCTAGTTTAGCAGGTAGCAAGGCCCAGAGCCTCGTCTCGGCACCCGCCGGGCGTAAAATAATAAATAAACAAATTTGTAAGTCTTGGGCTGAAGCATATTTGAAGGCGGCTACTCTCATGGTTTGTTTTAATTCAGAAGTAAGTTTGTAGATAGATTGATGATCTTACATACGTTCAATAGTTTAGAAGTGTGATAGATCACATCCGGGGACGAAGTTAATAGTGTTGGTGTGCCTGACTATATTGACAACAAGGAAGTGGATAATTATAAGTAATAGATACTCTGGAGTTGCCAAAAGATTACCGATACTCACATTCTCAAGTTGAAATATCTCACAACACTATCTTGATTGCACTACTTGATTTATTGACGACTCTAATTTTGATTTAATATAGATATCTATTACTTCGCATATATTAGATTTAAAATAAGCGTGCTTCCTATTTTTGACAAACAAATGATTTGGGTTGAATTAGCCTAGACCTGAAATTATTAAAGAAAATTATAATAGCTTTCCTCTGTTTGATGCTTGATAAAAGAGGGATAAATTGACATGTTTACTGTGTTTGGATTACTTCGTAACTCGTTGTAGTGATGAACAACTTGAAGCAACCCAGGGAATTTGAGATAATCATAAAGAAAAACTAACTTTGGAACCTTAACCCCAGCTATGTCGATATTTCTTTTCCGGGAAATCCGAGCCGTGACAAAAGTAAAAATAATCTGTGCAAGAATTTACACCTACTTTTAAGGCAGTATATAGCTCTCTTCTTCTTTTGGAGTTTCTCACACGCTTCTCTGTCACTAGTAGCTATTTAAATTTTCTAGTATAAAACTAGGCATAAAGTTGTACCAAAAATTTACAATCCCGCAAGAACACTTTGAACCCCAACACTTCCGGAATCATCTCGTTTCATGACAAATGCTCTAAAATCTGATTTCTGTAATTTCTTTCCTGCACCTCCTTGTTGGAGATTTCGCGATCTCTCGCGAAGGGCCTCGGGTCCAATAATGAAGAGGTTTCCGATCTCGCTTAGAACTTCAACACTACTTTCTGTTTCCTTTGTTAACGACAAGCCTTTTAAAGTCGAAACATATTTCGACATATCCTGTGCTATAAATAAGCCTCCTGTAGCATTAACTTGAAATTTTTTAAAGTGTTCAAATAAAAGATCTCGTATGTTAATTGCTAACATATTGCTAAAAGCCTCTAAATTATGACCATCTATAGCTTGAGGAACTAACGAAGAGATTCTAGATATAAAAGTGCTTATTGAAAGACAAGTTGTTGTTTGGAGAGTTTCAATGAGGTCACTATCTTTGGGTTTAAAATCCATCTTCTTCTGGTTTGCTAATAGCTTGCTTATCCAGTTAATTGTAACCGTGAGTACGCTTTGAATTATTCCATTTGTTTTTACCTCAATCCTATCCACACAGGCTTTAGTTTGTGTTTCCATGTTTCGTCTTACAGTAGTATTGGACTCTGCTAAGCGTAAGAGTACTGTGTTGATAAATTGGGACATAATTCTTGTAATTACAATTGCTGGTCGAAGCGATGGGAGGTATGCAAGGTCTGGTTCTATCTTTGAGGTTTCTTGTGCGGTCGCTTGGTCACTTATAGCGTCAAGAGTTGTCTCAACGTAAATCTGCCCTATATTCGTCAAGAGCAAGTTTAGCAGTACAGAAACATCCTTGGGTGTGTCACTACCGCTTCCAAGTTCTAGAGCACGCTTAACACTTTCTGCTATCCATTTTAACATTCGCCGGGCGTTCGGAATACTCAATATTCCATCCTCGTCAGTTACGTCGATTTCATTTTTGTTGTAGGAGCTATCTGTATCACGTAAATCAGCGACTCTAAGTAGTGTCGCCTTTTGCGTTGGGGTAAGTTCTGAAGAATCTAAGCGGTCAATATATGCGTCTTTGACTCCAGAGAGCAATTGAGATCCCTGCTGAGCGAGTGAAGCCATAAACCCAGTTGGCACCTTTTTCCTTCTTGAATGATATATAGTGTATTTAAACAGTAGTGAGGATTTGAGCTCAGTTAGACTTTTTCGTTCTCTATCAATGTAAGAGTTTCCTACAAGATATGGAACGAAGAGTTCATCTAGTTGTTGATCAAGCGTAAGAGCTGCCTGAACTGAACAAGGCTCTGGATGTTCTGTCAAGCCATGGGCTTTTAGATCCTCAATAAGACTACTAATGTAGCTCCTCGAAGCATGAAGAGAACGAAGAAAGGCGAGCGACGAAATAGTGTCAGCTTTCTCTAATACCATTTCTAATCGTTGTTGTATAGACTGTTGAAATATTCTTTGTATAAACTTAGTTAGAACAAGCTCGTAGTATGGAAATGCCCGCCTTATAATGAAAGATTCCTCCTGTATCACTACTTTAATTTCATCGACCAAGGATCGTAAGCTTGGTTCGACCTCCGGCGGATCTGAATCTGGATCCGCTAGCTTGTCCCATATTTCATTGTCGGTGGTCACTTCTTCAGTAATTAATTGGCTTCTATCAATGAAAAATTGGTGTTGATTAACGAACAGCGCTACAACACTAGATCCTCCGTTGAAATCATGCATGACTCTGGCGCACTCCAGCATTTCATCGAAATTCTGCCTTCGATAGCTATCATCAAATTGTTTCAATAAATCTTTCTCCAATACTTCGGAAAATTTCTCAATTATTTCACGCGTATTATGTCCTTGACCTCCATTAATCTCGTTAGACATATTGTTGACCATGTTAAGCTTATCAGCTTGCGTCCATGAATTTGGATCTAATATTTGACTCATTTTCATAAGCTGCCTGGCAAGAATCGCACAGCGAGCCTTGTTTTCACCACTTCCTTGGTATTGAATCATGTCTTCCAATGACTTTAAACGACCTGCATCACTAACCTCTAGCCAGCACTGAATTAAGAAATTTGCATCTAGAGCCCGTCGGCGTTGCTTGTCTTGGTCTTCAAGCTTTTCCCCAATCCGAACTGCAATGTTTCCATCACCGACAGATTTTTCACCTCGAGAGTTTATTTGAGGCTTAGTCGGATTGTTGAGTGAGACATCCAAAGCTTCAAATGTACTGATTGACTGGTCAAGTTTTTTACCGAGAGTTTCAAGAGTCTGATTATAAGAGATTTCAGCACGCCGTACAGAGGTCAACAAATTGGTCTCTCGCTGCCGCAATTCATCAGAGAGGCTTGCTAGTTGTGAAAGCGCGTCTTTGTAGCGTTAGAATGCTAGAAATATACCGAGGACTAAAGCTTACTCTCAAAGGTCCTGATCATTGGTTTCGGGTCGAATGACTGAATTCCAGTTCCAGATCTCCGACTTGTTGGTACGGAATTCTGGGCGAGTTCTTCTACAAAGTCCCTTACTATAAAATCTTTATTTGCAAAGTTATCAAGTGTGAAGCTAGGTCCTTGGGGAAATAGCGACCTTGGATTTGGCCCCCCTCCGGCACTGATGGGTGTCAATGATGGATTAGAATCCATAGCAGAATTTGTTTACACCCGAACTGTCGTAGTATGTACTCATTTATCATTTATATACATTGTAAAGTTATTTTAGCTGCGCTGGCCACCAAATATGCCGAGGGAAGTATATGTCTGGTACCGCTTGACGAATTTGTCACTGTTGGATTAGCTACGTGTTGACACTTATCGCTAAGAAATGAAATTATTTGTTGGCCAGAAAGTCAGCAAAGCAATCTCTAGCTATGATGGTCAAAGATCGTGAAATCGAATCCTACAGAAACGATTCTAAATCACAGCATCAATTATTCACCAAAGCAGAAAGAGAAAAACTAATAGCTGTAAGATAATGCCAAACACTTCTACACTTTCTAACCGATTTCTAATGATCCTCTTAGCCTTATCTACCTGTGCCGCACGCTATTTCGTCAAGACAGAGTAAAAATGTCACAGTATCAGCGAACAGAAAAGACAATCCAAAATTTCGCATGAGAATTGGAGCGCAAAATCTCTTTCGAACGCAACTGCACATCCTTTGTTTTGCAGTTCTACACATCTTCTTTTCTATCTACATACGGTGTAGAAAAATCCAGCATGCAATAAGGGATAGGATACTTGCTATTCTCTACTATCATCATCATACGCCAGAACTCATCCAGAGAGATGTAAAAGGACTTAACCGCTTGCCCACCCACGTAAGCGTCATACTACATCTCGATGAAGGAAGACGTGGGATTGTTGGATTAGAAGCTCTTGTGGATGAAGTGGCAGAAATTTCAGCGTGGTGTGCCTGTGCCGGTATCCCAATGCTCTCGATATATGAGAAGACTGGTTGGTTTTGCTCCATGATTCTTAGGTTAAAAAGCTAATAAAGACAAGGTCTTCTCAAAGGCTATATATCAGCTACTCACAGAGCCATAACTGAGAAATTATCATCATACATGGGGAACCAGCAGCCGACTTTATCACTCCGAGCACCGCATACATCTTCTATTGAATCACCTATCAGCACACCACCGATCGAAATTTTAAGCTCCACGCAAATCTTAAAACACATATCTGTGCTCCTACTTTCTTCCGAGGATGGACGAGATTCCATTGTTGATTTGACCAAAACGTTGACAGAGATGGCGCAGCGCTCTAAGCTCTCTATGGGTGACGTAAGCATTGATTTAGTCGACGCGGAAATATCTGAAAGTGTAATGGGCGAGCCAGAGCTACTAATTCTTTTCACACCTACTGTTGAACTTTTAGGGTATCCTGCTTGGCAGATACGACTCACGGAGATATTTCACGTGGAGGACAATGAAGGAGTCGGGTATCAGGTATTTTTACGTGCGTTATACAGCTACGGAAATGCGCAGATGAGGTTTGGAAGATAGATAATTCAAATGAATTAAATAATTCGCTTTGACCACCTTGAGCTTGTCATATGATTATCCTCAAAAATTAGACCAAGTACAATGATGCGATGTAGAACTCATTCTATCCCATGGCCTACATCAAAAGCATAGAACTCCCCAAGCTAATCGTTATTTGATTTGGTTTCATTTCATTTCATCTAGCCCGTTCAGGTAAATCTAGCTACAATATTTACACAGAACAAACCCAAATTCGGTAAAACCTCCCCCTAAACTGTCCACCTCATGTCTGTTGGTTTTTCAGGGGTGTCCTGTTGGAAGTACGTTTGCGCTGTTCATCCAGTATGTATTCCGTCCTATCTTTTTCCTGATCACGACATCCTTTCATTGACTGCTATCTCAACTTCTTCTGAAAGCCGGAACTTTTTAAGCCAACTTTTACCACGTGACCACTTCTTGATTCTCTTTGTTAAAATATGATTCCTCTGGGCGGGTAATACAGTAGTACTGTTACTGGAATATTTGGAAGTAGATTTGATAAAGCATAGGGTTAAATCGTTGCGTGTGTCTTCGTCTCTACGTCTACGCGCTTAATAGAAGTATCGCGATCCCGCACCCTCTAATCTATCGCTCCTAGTCTCATCCACACGCTAATATGAAACTACTAATACAGGGTATATAAAATCAACAGACGCCTTACCCTTTTTAACTCCTAGGCAACCAATAACCACAACCCTAACTCCATTATGTTAAATTGTAGGGAAGATTATGTTTGACCAACCCTTCTTATAATTTAACACTCTTTATATCATCGGGGCTGTTGATCATACCTTCAAAAGACCTATCTTTAGCCTGTCGTCGCACCTCTCCTCATCCCTTAGCCCACTGAGGACAAGCTAAGACCATTTATTTCACGTTTTGTGACGGATATTCACGATGGCATTTTGGATTTGCCATTCCAGGGACCTATCTTCTATAGAGATAAGAGTTCAGGTCAATGTACTCACTTCTCATCTGTGTTGAAATACTACTTTGGGCCCAGCTCAGGTTTCAATGGATGTTAAAGGGTGTGTTTCTGTAAGTCATTCTTTTTCTGCCTATTCTCTTGTGGTGACGATACTTGCTGATTTCCAATGTTCTGAGTCTGCCGACGCCTGATGAGAAGATAGTCGCTCTTACTTAAAAGGTTTCCATGCGCTTTCTCCCTCCTGGAATGCAGCTATCTTGTCTACTTCCTTACGTCTACATCTCACCTTTTTGTTGCTGCAGATTTTGGTCCATTTGTTAGTATCTTGGCTTCGATTCTTGACGTGGCTATTTTCGCTCAGACTATAGGCCTGCAATACTTTACTACATGCGGATAGAAATGTCTACTTGATAAGCTATCCATCTGAAAGTGCGATGTGTTGAACCCTTCGTTGTTTGAGCTAGATGTCTAGTGGAAGGATTGAAAGTCTGTTCTCCAGTTCTCTGCTGATACTAAATTTGCATGGCTATGTTGTGACGGTTAGTAAACCGATTAGTGCTTGTAGTCAACGCAGGCTAGCCCAGACAGTCCTTGGCCCTGATCATATTTCACAGGAATATTCTCGTAGAATCTTAGATGTGTTTACCTGGCATAACTTTCTAGTGGAACATTCGAGACTAGAGCAGAGATAATCGAGAATCACCTAGAAAGAGTGGAAAACTCCTAGCTATGAAGAAGGAATCTTCCAGGTACGAGATGAGAAATCACTAGAAGGATCTAGGTCAGTAAACCGTGCTCACTCCTGGGATAAAGGCCAAACATAGTATGGAAAGGAATGTCTAAACATCTGTCCAAATCCCTAGTAAACTTAATATTGCTGAAATATAAGCTTATATTCGTACAAATGTTTATTAGTTTTATACCTGATCTGCGACACCCGAATCCGGAGGAGAAGACTGAACACCTGTCAGTGGTGCTCTCTACGAACCTGGGAGTGAAATCTTCTCCCAGAGCCAAGTTCAGTCAAATTTCGCAATACCGAACAAGTTGGCCCACGAGGCAATGATTCAAATAACTCCACCACGGCAAATTTTCATTCCAAAAAAGATCGAATCCTACCTAAGCCTCATCAAGTTTACAAGTACGACCTAGTACATTCTCATTCCAATGACCACACCTCTCGCCGACCTTCTCTGGCCTCAGCCAGTCACCAAATACACGCCCACGCCTATATTTACACCCGACGGAGGAAGCAAAGCGTGGCGCACGAATCTGGGAGATAGCTATTTGGGATGGACGTGAGAGGATTCAGGACAAGTTCACAAGATGATGCGAAGGATGGATACAGTCTCGACGGGCATGGAATTTTGAATTTTGGCAAGGAGTTTTTACAAATTGAGCTTTGTACGTGCCAAGACTTCGGCTGCGAGAGTGCAGGCGACACTATAAACACCGCCATGGTTGGATGGTGCGGTGGTACATTGTCTTGGCCGGTCTGCCTAGTAGAGTCTGGATAGCTTGGACACATATCCCACTTGAGACAGTAGATCGCTGGTTCAAACCCGGCAAAACACAACCACATTTCTCGCAGCGCTGGTATGCATGGATGACGAAGGCATGCTTGGATAGCCAATGGTTTTGAAACTCCCTTTGGTGGGTACTAACGGAGGAGGGTCGACTGTTTGTGTAAGCGAACACACCTCATAGTGGTATTTGCGAATGAAATCCAGAGTATGAGTGTCTGTAAAGTCAAAAGAGTCATCCAACGTGTATACATAGCACCGGTCATGTGTCATAGCTTTGTAGCTGAATACACATTAAATGATTAAAAAAAAAAAAGACATCCGACTCCACTTGGGAAGCAGAAGTGTTGTGCTGGCTCGGTTGAGTTGTCAGGAGACAGGGGAACGGAGGATGGGCTGCTGGATTAGGACAGGGTGGAAAATACAGGCTGGTGCACAGACGCTGTTCATGTACTCTACAATCTCTTCACCTGTCGAGTTTTGTGAATTAATCTATCCATATAATATCATACTTCACATCATCCATTAGATGATATTATCAATCGTCGGGATGCACATCTAGCATCACCTTCATAGATCACCATTGTCAGTAAGAGTTCACATTTGATACCTACTGACACCCATTTGGCCACAGTGATACGCACTCAGTGTCCATCGTGCCATCACCCAGCGTGAGCGCGCCATCTCCGCGACTCACCATTGCACATGAGCCCGTGTAATTCCACCGACGGACAGCAGAGACATAATTGCCATATACCTCACAGCTCATAACCACAACAAGAAGTCTATTCCACATTTCACGCGTAGAAATGTAGATGGATGACAAAGTCATTTCTGGACAACTCAGTGGTTTTCAGACGTCTCCCTGGGTGGGTATTTACAGATGAAGGTTAACTTGGGGTGAAGAAGAAGCCGCCATAACTTCGCAGTGGTACTTGCAAACGAAATCCGAGGCATGAGTGCTTTTCTTGTATGTTGAACAATCTTTTATGTAATTTTCTTTGGCACTATGTCATGGCTAGATAGCTGTAAACGCAATAAAAATCCGACGCAAAATAAAAAACCTAAATACATAGTTTGCTCGTCCAATCTATACGAAAAACATAAATAATGAATTAAAACCAAAAAAATTAAGCACCTTGCGCCTTTCCTGCTTCCTCACAACTCTTTGTCCTGAAAAAATATATTTCGGCAGATCTTAATCCTCCGGGTGTGGCATCTACAACTCGTAACACTTAGTTACCGTTAAGAACTTAAGAAATATTTCCCAACCTTTTTCTGCCAGCATATCTAGTCCTATCGGTAGTGGTTCATGCTTCGGGTTTCTCCATTGCTGTAGAGTAATCCGGCATTCGGCAAAATGACAAGGACGTTACTCCCTTCCGCACACGCATTTGCAGTTTTCAAATTCGCGGCTCAATCTTCCATGGTATTTTCTGAAATCGCCGTGTCCCGTCCTTGCTGCGATAAGGCGGTGATGCGCCTACCTTGGCAGTGCTAGCTCCGGTGGACTTTTTCGTTTCATCTGGAGATCCAATTCTTCGTAGCGGCTCGGTCTGTGATCTAGCCACCAGGATAGCACTGCCTCTTCACATCTTTGCCTGACAAACCGAGTGAGGGCTGCAAAAGTGTGTTTAGGTCTGTCCCTAATGTCGGAGGGAGATGTGTCCGTTTCATCCAGTAGGTTCCTGAGGGCTTCCTTAGCTAGTCTGTCTGCATCTTCATTCTCCATGATCCCAGCGTGGGCTGGTATCCATCGGATCTCAACTGATCTAGCTTGTTGTGCCGGTCTTGTAAATACTCTCACTGCAGCCTGGGAAGATTTTGTTTGGCCGGTTCTTAGAGCTCTCACGGCTGTGGTGTTGTCGAGCAGCACCTTTATCGGGCAGTTGCCTGCTTTTCCCATTGCCCCTTCCAGAACTTTTTGGGCCCCAAAAAATTCGGCGTTGTAAACATGCGCCCCTAGCATTGAGCCAGAGTCACTCCCATTCACCTGGCATCCTTTGTATAAGGTATACCCCCATGCAGACCTAGCTGGTCCACATGATGAGCCGTCTGAATAAGCGCAAAGTATCTCGGCCGACAGGCTTGCTATCTATTGTTTAGCGTAAGCTGCCTCGTCCTGAATATCCCCGTCAGTAATTTTTCTAATAGACTCGGTGTGGAATGAATGAAAATTTATTCGTGACGGGCAAAAGCACTGCACTCAAAGAGCATGATACGGAGAAGACTAGCTTCTCAGACGGCTATATACGACAATAACTTAGTTTGACATTTGGACTACTCATGTAGTGGGTGTATTCGCTGGTACCACTCGAGACCTTGGTGCTAAGGACTTTCTATTGTAATAACGAGGTTATGAGAAGTCTAAGAATTGTCACAATGGGTGTAACAGTCAACTTGAGTGGATGTAGGATAGCACTTTAAGTCTAACGTGAAGAAGGCAGATATATATTGTAGATCTGCTATATTGATGACTATTGAATATAAGAGTGGAAAAGGTTGATCATATACAGAGGTCTAGCAGCGAGTATTTATACACAAAGAAATACATACAATATACCATCAATAGCAATAACTGCCAACCATTCAGCCATTCAACAACTATGTCATTAGATATACCTGCGTCATATTATCATATAATCATGTATGGTTGAGATACTGGTGTTGTCATTGCTGTGTGCCGATGACGTATCATTGACGCAGGGTCGCTTGTCCTGTCGGTTCACTTGCCCAATACTAGCCATTCCAAGTTGTGTGATCTATAAGTGGGCCTGGTCACAACACTTTCACCCTTCTCTCAACCGTGAATATCCACGAAAGGGATAACAGGAAAAACTTTTGGCTGCTCTGACATGCCTTGGTCATCTTGTGTATAGCCGCCGCGCGAGATATAGCTTCACAGTCCTCCCTTTCTCGAGTGAGGTAGGTGTCCAGGCTACCCAGACTTTAATCCGGGGAGATGAAGACTAGGAGGCGGACCTAAACACCTTCCATCGTTGCCTGTTTTTGAAGTGTCGGTGGCACTATCCTAAATCGTTGCCTCCGCGCCTACAGACACCCTTAAGTCGAAAATACTCGAACAATGTGCGTTCCAGCATGCCCATTTGTGACCTCTTCACTCGTTCGTCCCACGTCCCAGCTGCCTGTCCTCCCTCAAGATGCAAAGCCCGATTAGAGCAACGGTCCCCCATAAAACAAGACCCCAGCTTTATAGATTATGACTTAATTTCCTCCTCGCGGGTATACATAGCATCGTAAATTTGTAGTGGGAGATGTCCGATTTTTGATGGGGCGAATGCCCGATTGCAATTGGAGTAACGCCATTATCGGTATTTGAGGCGAGGTGGTGTAGTAAGATTGAGGTGGAGGACTCGCGTGAGAATGATAGGTCCAACGTTGACGAGAAGTCGTCGATTTTATATGTGCTTGTGAATGCTTTCGACTTCGATTTGGACGCGATTCTTCTTGGCTATCCCAGATATGCAGAGCACACTGAGCAATTACACCGGTACCACTGGAAGGTGAAGAATTCGTCTTTGCCGGCGACTCGGTGTAGAAGGACGATGATGATCTTTTTTTGAAGGTTGGCAAGCCACGCGTGAAGCGCGTGGTTTGTTTAAGACCCTACCGAGACAACAGACGTCAGGGTCTAATCCCTGAACTTCCACATATTTTAAATGAAAAAAAGTTCGACACAATAATCAATATACAGAGAAAGTTCATTCACACAGTTACTTCCCGCAGATTGCTAGGCTATTGTAGATGGTAATGAAATGATTGCCCAGCGCCATCCCCTGCCTAGGAAAGTCTACATTCCCTGTTGACCTCCACTGCCATTGTGTAGATGGAGGTTTTAGAGTTGATCTGGAATGGAGTAACAGAAGGCATAGAGTCACATGACTATAGCACGTGAATCGCCAGTTGATATTTGAGATAAGTGGTAATCAGAGGATGGTGTATGAAATGATGCATAGTGGGCGGCACAGATATTCCATGTTTAAGCTAGAGAGGTATTGGATGAGTCAGTACTTAAATACTTGTACAGTTTAAAAAAGCCCTTGCTCTAGGCTTTCCTTTTTATCATGACCTTCAGACCACCAGTTCTCCGTTCTGCCACAACAATCCTGGATCGATCGTTATTCTGCCAGACGTTCCCACTAGCCGCAGCCCGTGTGTATGACAGCAAAAACTTATCTCGGTATAGAAATGAGCTCGGAAAATCTAGAGAAATATTAAAACTTGAGAGACTCCTCAACATAAGACCTGATCCTGATCCAGAAGTTGCAGCAAGAGGTGGAAAATGCGTGCTGCTGGCTCCGCAGGTTAAACCTGAAGGTAACCTTTACTACAGCAAAAAATCCTGGCCGCTCATAAAATTTAGATCCAACGTCTTGGAGTAATTTGTTACAGGAGGCAGTAAAAGCGAAAGAGTTGAAAGTTCTTCCTTACAATTTGAAACTTGACTACGACTATTGGAATTACAGTACATAAGTAGATATCATGTGTTTTTCATGAAGTTTCTTCTAACCTAAGATAGTGGAGATCATGACCTCAATTCTTCCAAATGATGCACAAGGAGAGATACCTGTAGGATTTGCGATAGTTGGTCACATTGGTATGCTTCCATTTCTGCCCATGTTTCTGTATTCTATTAATATACGTTTAGCACACTTAAATCTAAGAGATGAATATCTTCCTTATAAAAAGCTCATAGCCGAGGTACTGATTGACAAGAATCCACGAATCCGGACAGTGATAAACAAAACAGATGGAGTCGGAAACCAGTCCGAATATCGTACTTTTGGATATGAAGTACTTGCTGGTCCCGATGAAATGAATGTTGAGCTAAGTGAGGGTGACTGCATCTTTAAGTTTGACTATTCCAAGGTGTATTGGAACAGTAGATTGCAGACTGAGCACAAGAGATTAATTGACACTTTTAAACCTGGTGAGATAGTTATCGACGTCATGGCTGGCATAGGACCGTTTGCGATTCCCGCAGGTAAGAAAAAAGTTTTTGTCTGGGCTAATGATTTAAACCCGGAGAGCTACAAAAGTATGAGTGAAGGAGTAGTACGCAACAAGGTTGGTCGGGTTTAACCTGTATCCTCACCATATTCAAATGTGATATATTAACTACTTTAAGGTTGACTTATTCGTCCGCACTTTTTGTCAAGATGGAAGAAGTTTCATAAAACATGTGACTGACGAGCTTTTTCAACTTGGGAAAATGGGGCAAAATTTTGTTCATGTTTCCGGGAAATCTAGTTTGCGTCGTAACCAAAAGCAGCTATCCAACTCCACGCCAGACACTCAGATCTTCTTCCCCAGCACGCCTTCACATTTTGTTATGAACCTACCGGCTACTGCCATAGAATTTTGCGATGCATTCTTGGGCCTATATGCAGGAAGTGAAAAGTTTTTTTGTCCGCATACGGAGCGTTTGCTTCCGAAGGTACATGTACATTGTTTCTCCACGAAGAGCAACGATAATGTGAGGGAAACTGTAGAAGTTTGTGAAAGATTGAGTAAAGTGATGGGATACAACATGAAGCCGAGATTCGCTACAGGTGATCTTGGAGAAGGCGAGGTTAGAGTGTGGGATGTCCGAGACATATCTCCTAAAAAGAGGATGTTTTGTGCTGAGTTTCGAATACCTCAAGATGTAGCTTTCTGGACGAGCAGATGACGTGCTGTGGGGATGCCAGCAAAGAATTGATCGATGATAATGTTAAAGATAGTTACCATATTTAGTTTCAGGTAGCCCATTCAACACTAGATATGGGTTACCATCTTCCTGGCGTCTTCTTTTTACATCAGATTTTGATTGCATATGCAGCTTTCTAGCTATAACATAGTATCAAAGAAAATACAACATGGGTGAGCCAACATATAAGAGGGACGCCCAAGCCTTGTATTTATTTTCCAAGCACTACTGCGAAATTATAGCGACTTTATCCTAGTCCCATATCAGCTCTCATCCATAAATACTCATCCAGGGAAACTACTTAAAACCCCAGGGTTACCTCAAAATGTCTTTATCATCCATTGAAACTTCTCAGAGTGAAATTTGATCTGAGGCGTCTCCTTCCCGAGTAATGCTTATAGAGTCAGCTGCACTCTCCAATGGGAAAATCTCCTTGCCAAATTTCGAAATCTGATCCCCGTTAATTTGTATCCTTCCTTTGCATCATCTTGTAAACTTGTCCGGATTTCTCTTATACCCATTTCTAAGAACTTACTCCCAAACTTGAGCGCTACGATTTTTTTCCTCCTGTGGGTATTAGGATTGTCATGGGCTTGTATTAAGTGGCCAGCTGAGGCCAGAGAATAGTCGATAATTGGTTGTACTTGCAGACTTTGAGAGGCTCAGATAGGAGCCCATCTTGTAGGGAGTAAAAATTTGACATCGTGGAGTATTTTGAATCATTGTCTCGTGGTCCAACTTCCTCGGTATAGCGAAATTAGACTATACTTGGTTCTGGAACAATATTTCACTCCCAGATTCGTAGATGACACCGCGTACAGGTGTTCAGTCTTTGCCCTCCCTCCTGTGATCTGCAAGTAGTGACAGAAACTGTGCTCTCTAGCTGTTATCGACAGCAGTAGCCTGTCACCAACAACATTCCTTACGTTCACGAATCCAAGAGCGGCCAGGATTGAATGGCTTTCAGCGTGTAGGAATGTGCAGGGATGAAGATAGGACCCAACACACGCTTCTTCGTATGCCCAAATCTTTTGCACTCGGTGGTAGATAATATTATGAACATGTCTGTGCCAATAGGATTATGTAGCATTAGCCCAAATTAGTGTTTGTATGTTTGTACGGAGTTATCGGTTGGAAGTCACACACTCGTCTTATGTACACATAGGACTCATCGGGCAATTGTGATATCAATTGATTAATTGTTCAATATCTAACGCCAAGTAGACACACAGGATGAGCCCGACCATGGAGCTTTCAAAAGAGCAATTGGCACGCCCGCGCAGCCTAAAGCCGCGAGGTGTTTCCATTGGCTAGTCAACCATTTAATTGTTATTCACCAGCAGCTTAGCGTTTCGCTGAGGCTGTTGAAGTCAGTGTTGACTTTTTCCGTATCATTATTTGAGGGCGCGCTCCGAGTCTACAGTTTACGGTGAGTCACCAGCATTTGATATACACCGCCTTTTCATGCACATCCCGCGTGGCTGCCATTAGCGAGGTCTTAGTGAGGCCCTAAGCGAGTAGTTAATGTCCTGTCCATCTCGTCCACTCCGGGCTACCCTCCTCTCTTCACCAATCACCTCGCCTCCCCTTATCCCATTTTTAGGTCAAGATTCCCAGTCCTTCTCCCTATCCGTTTGGCCCAGGGGGAAACACAGCCAATCCAACGACTTGATCTTCTGATCAGTCATCTCATAGCCAACCGCTAGTTACAACCACACCTTCACCCGGATTTCTCTTTCAACATCACGAGACGACGCAGTCAACACAGCTGACAATCCTCTGCCCTACCCGGCGAATTTTCTACTTTGGTATCAAGGTACTCCCAGTCATTTCTCTTCATCACAGTTTCGTGGAGTAGATGAGGTGAGTCCGTTCCCCCGCACGCAGCTGCCGAAGCCTTGCAACGCAACGTCACGGCTTCATCAGTTGTCGGGCAAGAATCAGCCAGTAGTGTTGGAGGACCTTAGACAAACATCACTTGGATTGACAAAATATTGACGATTTATCAGATAAACTACTACAGTTCCCTCTCTACAAACTACCTATTGTATTCACGGAAAAAAATCGCAGCCGGAAAGAAGTGATAACAATCACACCCAGTACCTTCAAGCGCACCTTGTTTACACGTCGCGTGACGACCAACCGGTCTATCAGCAAGGATAATAGTTACTTCGCACCACACTTGATCTTGATTCCTAAGATACAATTGCCGACTACATTAGATGATCTCTTAAAAAGTGTTCTCTCACGGTATGCGCCTCGTCCAGCATGCTTGTCATGCACAGCCAACACATAACGATAGGACTATGATGACATAGTCGCAGCCCAGTCCCTGATTACACTCTCAAGTCAAGTAAAAATCATTGAACTTTTACTAACATATGAATCACGTTAGTAATTGTCATAACGCACTACTTCAAGTTGGCGAGCACGAGGTAGTCTACGAACTACACATCTTACCAACAAATCATCTATTCCCCGGATCATATGATAGATAATTTTACGACTTGTAACTAGATCAAGCGAAAACCTCACGTTTATTAGATGAAATTTTCGGAAATTTTAACTTCAAAATCGTAAACTAGGTTAAAACTTAGACTACTATACTCGAAGCAATAAAAGGCTCCATCACACATCTAGGCAGTGAGCGCTTTTTGAACACCTTCAAAATCCAGATGCTCAGCAATCTTGTCAACATCGGCTATCAATAGAAAACCAGGCGCACATCTCTCAGCATCACTTTGACAAAAGACGAAGATAATCAGAATTTAATACTCACCATTCGACTCTCATCAAATCAAACTCATTGTAGGTTAAGCCTAGATATATAACGCTCAGATGATGGAATATGCGCAATATCAACAGCCGCCACAGGCTCAGCATACACATAGCCAGGGACATATTCAAAGCGGATACCCTAACAACGGGCAACACTCAAATCCAGGAACACACATTACACCGTCTCAACATCCTGCGCACAATCAGCCTTCACCGATCCTTTCTCAGCAACAACAATCAGATCAACAGAGTATTTCCATACATCAATCAATGAGTTTTCAACCACCCTATGGTGTCCCACACCCTCAAATACAGTACGGTATGAATCAGCAAGCAGCGACCATGGCTGCTACCGCTGCAGCGACTGGACAAGGATATCAGTACAGTCTTTCTGATACCGGCTTGACACAAAATTCACCTCTAGGAGGAGTTTCTGTAAAGACAGATCTTGGGCAACGGTCACCAAATCCCATGAACAATCATATTGGACATGGGCGACGTATAAGTCAGATGAATAGCCCTGCAATGCCAAGTTCTCAGCCATTAATGAATCATAATGTCAATCGACCCTTAGTAACGCAAATGCCTACAACTCATCAGCCACAGTCACCTGAGCATGACACTACCGTTGTAGAAGAATCGCCGTTATACGTTAACGCAAAGCAATTCCACAGAATCCTAAAGCGTCGCATCGCAAGACAGAAGCTCGAAGAAGCTCTACGACTTACATCAAAAGGAAGGAAACCGTACTTGCATGAAAGTAGGCATAATCATGCGATGAGAAGACCAAGAGGACCTGGTGGTAGATTTCTCACTGCCGACGAAGTTGCGGAAATCGAGAAGACAAAATTAGAAGGATGTGAGGGCTCAACAGATATCCACAGTAATAATTCAAGGACCAATACCGTCCCAAACAGCAAACGAAAGGCAGAAGCTCAAGATCTAACTCCCAACAAGAAGCCTAAATCGCAGATACCTCATCGTCGTAATAGCGACGAGGAAGATGAAGGAGACGATAATGGTGATGCTGGCTGAAGCAACCCTAGGATGCGCTATGGCCACCAAACAGTCATCGTTCTGCATGCTATTTTGTCTTATGATGTCACGATAGCGTTGTTTGTTTGTGCTCGATGCTGAAAGTTCTACATAACATTATGGTTCGCCCACGAGTCTTATTCACGTCATGGCATATTTTCTCGGTGAATGTTAAATTGGAATAATACGGATTGCGGAGTTATCAGGGTGAATGGGATGGTGTATAGGTGGAGCTAGTGGAATATGGTAGCGAAGCGATTGTTTTGACTCGCGGAACTCAATTCGCAAAAATTTTAATCACGTTTTTGCATCCTTGTGAATCTTTATACCCTTTTTTGTTAATATTTCATCGGTAAATGGGAGCTACTCAAATAGTTATGGGCACATAGATCTCCGACGTCTGTCATGAGAGGATTCTCTAGCTCGGCTGCATATAAAATTTTTCTCAACCACACGAAGAGACTCTAGGAGCGGGCTTGATACTGACTATAACATATAAAGGGCGATGGGAATTGATGATTTTCTGCAAGTACGCTAAATGTGTGTGGTAGGGCACTGTATAGATGAAGTTTATGAATGAGGATATCAAAGACTATCGGCCTGAAATTCCCACACCACGACTGATGATGGGAACAAAGAAAGCACGCCGATCTTCTCGGGTCTCGTTTCGCTCCAATCAATGTTTACATCAAATTTTTACATTTCCTTATCTTGGTAGGGATTGTATCTGGTCTGCTCATGGCATGAACTCTGTCATTAGGCGGTAATTGGTCTCGTATGATGCCGTTGTCGCACAACATGGTCGATTCAGACGTCAGGGATTTGAATTTTTACGACCATAAATTATGCTTAATGTTTGCAAACCAACCATGAGATAGCTAATGACGCATGAGTAGGCTCGCTAGCAACAGATGTGTGTTCACACACTGGATGGATAAGCAGGCCGCGCGATGAACAATTGCATAGGGGCCATCCAAACAGTTTGAACTAGGCTGTAAGCAAGCATTAGGTATAACGGAAAGGCATCTGCAAAAGCTTGGGATATGAATGTAGAGATGACAAAAAAAGACTGCCGAACCCCCTATTATCGGACCCTGTGCATGCGACTCGGAATCACAGTTGATATACCCAGTGGTTATTAATTGGATAGGTGATGATGATCAAGCTAGTCTCTGCTTGTACTAGTATTGATCTTTACACTACGCGGCTACGATTAGCTCGAATAAAGTGACATTAGGTGCAAGACCCTCGCGTCAGGACCAGACTCGAATCACGAAAGATGCGATGAGGATTAGGCGAACAGTCGTTTATTGATGCCTCTCGCAGCTTGAGTAGGGGTTTTGAAGGAGCCTTTACCCTCGTCAGGAGAGGCATTTTCCCATCGCATGGAAGCGGGTCTATATCGGTGATAGGGCGCAGGGTTCGCGAAAAAGGAGGTACGACAGCCAGAGTATGCAAACTTGAGCCGCCGTGCCCCCAGCTGACTCAGGCGCCGAGTCGAGGCGGTTCCCGATCCGGGGTATAAACGCAGGGCGACTCAAAAACGTCACGCGCGAAGAGGGACATGGGGCGACTTGAGCGGGCAACAGCCAGTAAGGTAGCAGGGTATAGACTGGTTTGCATTTAATTATAGTTATAATAATAAGTGTTGTGCCTACACATGGCACGTGAGCTCCTCATGTACCAGTCAGGCCAGTGATAACAAAACTGCACGTCGTGAGACAGCTCTACTTTTTGTGGAGGGAATGTCTCCTGGCCAAATACACATGGTGCACTGGGTAGCGAACAAGTACTTGAGCGGCATGATTCCCCTCGAATTCCCGACTCTGGTCCGGGAATTTCAGGCGTCGTGCACGGACTTTCTTGAAATACCAAATACAAGTTGGCCTGCACGGACTTACGGTTTGGCTGCACGCGTGTCGCCCGATGACGAGGCTCATGAGCATGGAATGCGCTCCGAGAGTTGCTCTCATCCTCTCATACCCGGCTTTGGCGCCAATGCCGCGCACCTTGAGTTTCGAGGGCCCACAGCTATTCGCGCGCACGCCGTATCAGGGATGCTGGGGACACTCTCGAGCTGTGCATTTACCCTCGCACACCTTGCTGTCGCCAAAGTTTAATGCGCCGGCCACTACATTTTACATCTCTCCAACGTCCGGCCCACGCCTCGTTACAAGAGTTAAGCGCCGGACTAGACATGGTCGAGCGGCACCATCCTGCGACCACGAGCCGGCAGAAATTGTTGGCAACGCCGTACAACGTAACATTTACGTGCAGCGACGGGGAGCCGCCACCAACCTTCGCGGTGATGAACCTTTTTTTCTCGAATTAGCGAAGGGTCTGCATCAACCTAGCTACGATACAGAGCTGGACATCCGCAGACAGCCTCGTCGCCGCGTTTGTCCTCTACTTCCGTGCTCGTCGTCGGCGGCGCTGAAAGTCGCTCTTGTCACTCTCGAGATGAGAGTGATCAAGCCTTCGGTGATATGGCTCCCTTGAACCTTTGGATGTGTAGACCTTGCAGAAGCTGGCATGCACCGGGCGCTCCCGTAGGCCACTCTGGAATTATTCATGGTGAATGCGGTTATCTGGATACAACGCATAAATAGTGCATTGTGCACACAACAGATCACTCTTGACCGTAAGGATGCTCATTCGCTGAATTTCGTTCCTAAATATCACATTACGGTGATTCGCGTAGTAGGGGGCTTACCACTGCACCATCTAGCCATAGCGGTGTTTGTAGTGTCGCCTGCAATCTGGCGAGGAAGCTATCGAGCGCATTACGCTCTCCAATGTGGGAACCTCATTCCCAAAGGTCCAAGTATCATTCCTTTCAACATGGAAGCCATCCCTGGTATCATCTTGACCATCTATTCTCATACCTCTCTCGTCCACTCCAAAGTTTGCCTCTAGGACTTGTATCCAAGGATTTACTTCCTCATGCGTGCATTAGTGTTGTCGCAGACGTGTATTCGGAGAGTGGAGACAGGGAAGACGGGAATTTGTTACAAGTGTGAGGTTATGAGAGATAGAATAGCTACTGGTAACGTAATACACGTTCGCCGGGAGGGATGATCGAGGATGCAGCAGGTGAGTGTGTGTGGAAATTAATGCACTGGACTGTTTTCGGGAGAGAATCACTGCTTTAATGTACGTGTGCGAATACAACCAATACCATTGCCATTATTCTATGCTATGACGGACTGATGATGTCCAGTTCCATTCTTTTGTCACCATTTTTCTTTCAATCTCGCCTATCCCCACCACACACGTGCGAGGATCACCAGGATACAATCACAATAGAATTTTGTGAGGGAAAGCTGTTATTTTTTCTAATTTCCTTGTTCATGGGCGGTTAAGTGTGGCATAGCTGGTGTAGACTAGATTCACCACAAAAGGATAAAAGAAACAGAGATGTGGCCATTGGAGAAAAGATGTTCTAGGACGCCTCGTAGACTTGAGGCGATATTGATCGTAATGCACTCTGTTGGGGGGATTAGATTAGATTTGTATTATAGTCCTATCTGAGTCAATGACTATAGAGGACTCCTAGAATCTATAAATAAGATACTAGCTACATTTTATAAGTTCCGATTGTTTAACTTCAGAATTTGCTTTCATGGACAGCGAGGGACAAGCCCTGAGGGGGAAGGGCAATTAGTCTGATACTGGGTTTTGTATCATCGGCTCGTGGATCAACTTCTTCGATATTGCGATGTTAAATGTGCTCTATTTTGGAGTTTGATTTGCACCGAGGGTCAGCCTTCATCTCCATCTCGAAATGCGTTCCCCCTGTCGGGAAAAATAATCCGAGGGAACATTGTAAAAAATGAGCTCAGCTTCCCAAGTAATCATCCCGTAGGATGAATTAGTTCCTATTAGGCTCGCGAAGATTAGTGAGTGTTTATTGTACTACTTCAGTCATAGACTATCTAGCACATTGCGCTCCTCTCTGACCCAGGCCATACCTTGTACCGTGCTCCTTACCTCTCATGTTTCTTGGAAGATGTTGGAAATATCGCGCAATGAAATGGGCGCAATATTCATGGAACGAAAGTAGAAGTTGACTAAAAGAGTGTCATGTTCGGATTGAATCTAAGAGTGTGGTAGATGTGCGCTACAAGTACAAGTGTAAGAGTGCAGCTGACACTGTAAAAACAAGCAGACGATGGAAGGTGTTGTGATCCGCCTCCTGCCGGTGTTCTCTGGTATAGTTTGAGTAGCCTGGGCACCTACTCCACTTAGGAAGGAGACATCTCAGATCATATTTCGCGCGGAGAAAAGTTGATGGATGACGGAGGCATGTCTGGATAACTCAGGGTTTTTGAGATGTTTCCCTGGGTGGGTATTCATATATGAAGGTTGACTTGGGTGAAGAAAAAGCCACCATAACGTCGCAGTGCTACTCGCAAATGAAATCAGAGGCATGAGTGCTCCTCTTGTAAATTGAGTCATCTTTTCTGTACTTTTCTTTGATATTGTGTCATAGCTAGATAGCTGCATACGCATTTAAAATCTGGTGCAAAAAAAAAAAGTACAAGTGTAAGCGACACTGAGGTTCCTGATGGATTAGTATGTGTGAAAAGTGAGATAAGCTTAGCTTTAAGATGGCGTAGGTTACGGGTGTCTCGTGGCTCCAATCTACCAATATGTATAGTAGAGCTTAAGACTAGATGTAACTTGGTTTTCTATTAATACAGGATATCGTCTATATAAGTACAGTATTCCTAATCTTGCGCCCGGACTCCAACATGAACAACATTACATAAGCATTACAATTTATTAGAGCCTCGTACTAATCTAGAGGTCTGTCAATCTTGGATCCTCAACACGTTGCCTAAGCCACAGCATAAACGAGTGTGGCGCCATCTAGGCATAGAAAACCCCCAATAACCTCCTTGCGCCCACGCCATACAGCCGCTCATATGTCCAATAGGTAGTCTGAAGCGCTACCGTACGACCTATTACAACCTCTTAAATACACATAAGATCGTGTC